ACTGTAATGTTGCTACTGTTATGAATCGTCATGTAAATATCTGATATGCAGGATGGTCTTAGGCGACCCCTGTGAAAGGGTCGTTCGACCGCCAAAGGGGTCGCGGCCCACAGGTTGAGAACCGCTGCTCTATACCCATATATTTTCCTTCTACTGAGTTACTCAAAGTACATTCTAGGCTTTCACTTGACTTAAGTCTTTCATTGCATCTAATGATAGCTTAAAGAATCTGTCACTCATTAAGCACCTACTGTATGCCAAGTGCTGTGCCCATGTGGCCTCATGCATACCTGAGGACTGGTGGAGGAACTGAAGCTCAGAGCAGCAGTGGGAGAGGAGGTTGATGAGGGATGGCCAACCTTCCCAGCTTCCTGTGGGGCTGGGGTTCTGCCTATTCCCTGGCTTTACCTCTGTGAAGCCAATGTCCAGCCTGTCAGAGGCTTGAGGAGTAAGAAGGGACAGAGTGAGTTGGGTCCTCCATCCCTCCCTCTGCCTCTTCCCCGACATCATGCTCCATCTTCCCTTGCAGACTTGGGCCTCTTCTCCACCAAGACCCTGGTGGAGGCGAGTGGTGAGCACACCGTGGAGGTGCGCACCCAGGTGCAGCAGCCCTCAGATGAGAACTGGGATCTGACGGGCACTCGACAGATCTGGCCCTGTGAGAGTTCCCGTTCCCACACCACCATTGCCAAGTATGCACAGTACCAGGCCTCATCATTTCAGGAGTCCTTACAGGTGAGAGGCAAGCATAGGGAGGCAGGGATGCGGATCAGGGGACTTGGAGTGGGGCTGCTGAGGGAGGGCTCCTGGAAGGTGGCTGACTCAGCCTATGGCCAAGCAGGAGGAGAAGGAGAGTGAGGATGAGGAGTCCGAGGAACCAGACAGCACCACAGGAACCCCTCCTAGGTACCGTACAGTATGCCCGTTCCTTTCGTGACTTTTATTCCCTTCCCTGTGCTTCGCCACCAATGTGTGCTCTTCACCCCCACAGCAGCACACCAGATCCGAAGAACCATCACATTATCAAGTTTGGCACCAACATCGACCTATCTGATGCCAAGCGGTCAGTGGGGTTGAGGCCAGCAAAGCTGGGGCAGGATTGCTGATGGGTCTGCAGGGCGGGGATAGCCTCTCACTTTTATTGACTCCCTCACCGTCGCAGGTGGAAGCCACAACTGCAGGAGCTGCTGAAGCTGCCCGCCTTCATGCGGGTAACATCTACCGGCAACATGCTGAGCCACGTGGGCCACACGATTCTGGGCATGAACACGGTACAGCTGTACATGAAGGTCCCCGGCAGCCGAACGCCAGGTGCAGAATGCGCGCTGGGGGCGGGGCTGGTGTCGGTGCTGCTTTCAGCCAATGAGGGCCAAAGGGTGGCCTTGGGAAGGAGCTCAGCTCGGCTAGGCCAGCCATGGCGTTCTCTATTGCCCCCTGCAGGCCACCAAGAGAACAACAACTTCTGCTCTGTCAACATCAACATAGGCCCAGGCGACTGTGAGTGGTTCGCGGTGCATGAACACTACTGGGAGACCATCAGCGCTTTCTGCGAC